ATATGTACTTATTTACCAAATATGTATATATATCAAAATGTGTAGCAAAATGTAAAATAAATTTGGCAATATTTTAATTAGAATGATCTAAGTCGTAAACATTTTTAGATTTAAAATACCTCATTTCAATAAAAATATGTAATAACAATAAATTCCGTTCCCTAATAATAAAATTATAAAATCCCAGTAACTATAATTATAATCGATCAGAATGGAAAGTTGTTGAATGTCATTATGATTCGCCTTTAATGAAATATTTAATTTACATATAATAATAAACTTGCAATTATGCCAAATGTATATCCTTTTTTGAAATAAGTACTTTCATACTGCACGAACCAAATATTATACTTTATAAACTGCATTATAAAATTTCGTTTATTTACTTAAAAAATATGTACGTATAAACTCAATTTTGTAAATGAAAATAATATTTTCGATTTTATGTTTTTTTAACTTAGAATATGAAAAATGGTTTTATAACTTATTTTATTTTTATAAGTAAATTAAAGTTAAGATTTATATTTTTATATAATGTATAGGTAGTCATAGTTTAATATTATTGAAGCTTAACCACAGAAGAACGTATTGAGTACATAAGTTATTGTCAATAAACGTATGCTTTTCGTTTTACAAATATTTTATCGATTTTATATAGATTACAAAATCATTCATAGCTAGTTATTATTATACTGCAATTGTGTAATTATTATAAAAATTTCTCTGGGAAAAAAGAAAATGGTTTTATTTTTTAAATGTGTATTGCAAGATGCCTTCATTCATTTTTAAACTAAATGCTTTATGTATATGTTTATAAGCAATTATGGAAATTAGAAGACATATTGTATTGCTAAAATAAAACAAAACATTGGTACTGTCCGTGACATTAATATAATGTATATTGTAGATATATATTAAAACCAATTACTACAATTACTATTTGCACATAAGTATTTTAATATTTCTAAATTTTGTATTAGTTATATTATGCATGTTAATTACATGAACAATGAGCATAATTATTAATATGATTTAAACGATCTATTGTAAATATTTTAATGTTTTTATATTTTATATTTAATCTGTTTTGGTTATCCTATCAACATCCATACACTTATCTATTTAATAACAGTGTTAAAACAATTTATTCAAATTTTCTTAATTATTGTTTATTATTAACCAAATATTGATACTAATTTAAATCATTATTCGATCAACAATCAACAGACTTTTTAATTTTTTAATCTCTACCTATATGTATTATAGTGTGGAGTGTGTTCGATTATTTAATTTATTACTTTCCATTTAATCTTATAACTCATGAATCATAATTTTAATCTCAATAAAACTATTCAATAAGAAAATATTTAAATTTTTTTAATTTATTTTCATAGTTTTTATAGACTACCAATTTTACCATAATAATTTAACATAATTTAAAAATATTACATTAAAAAATTATAAAAATCATAAACCTTTAAATAAATAAAAAAAAAAAACAAATAGTGAAATATTGACCATGAAATGTATAGTTATAACTTCCATCAGATAGTCATTATAGAAAACCAAGTTTAATTTCGTTTGTAAATATATAATAATAATTATAAAAATACGTTTAAAAATTAAACTTTTATTGAAGTATTATTATGCTATTAATATTGGTTTAATATAATATTGAAGGCAATTTATACCCAAGTAAAATACTAAAATTATACACACGAACTATTCGTTATAACAGTGGCTTAATTTTTATTTCTTAAACTAAAACTATTAAAACAAATTACAATCTATATTTATGTTAAAAAAATCTACAGTAAACATAATAGTATGCAAGTAAAAGCGTATTAATTATTACTTGACATTATCAAAATGTTTAATGTCGTTTTCAATAAATATATAATGATTAAATAAATATAATTTTATTCTGTATTGCATTGCATGTAGACGGTACAGTTATAATTGCACAGATGGTTTAAAAGTACTATTTATTATTCTGAAACAATTGTCTACTACTTGGTTATTAAATAAGAAAATTCATATTTTTATATGTACATTTCTCAAAAATTCAGAATTATAATGAATTTTGTCATTACATTTTCATTATACGACTAAGTATTTTTTTAAAAACTGTAACATTACAGTTGTACATTAGTATTATAGTTTTATCAGATTCTGTTATGAATATTTTCACTTAAATAATATTATCTAATGTAAATAAACGCATAAACATAATAATTTCATAACATATTTAAAACTAGCATATTTTTTGTAGATAAATAAAAATAAAAAATGTTAATACAATTATAACAGTTGAATCGTTGTGCAGCATATAATATGCATAATTTAGTTTATTATTAAAAATAATACAGTTAAAATATTTTTATAATAGTTAAGTTCAATTTTACTGAAAACGAATAAATTAAATAATGATTTTTTGTTTCTGGACTGGTGTGTAAATGCGTTAGCAATCAAAAACGAAATAACTGCATTACAATTAAGGATTGTTACTAATATGTGTACTTAAAAGTTTGGTGTAAAACAATGTTTTAGTTATAATTGTTATTTCGAATCAACAATAGTTGAAAATTCAATTTATTCAATTTTTTCGTAACCACAAATTACTCACTCACACTTAATATTTGTTTAATATATATATATATATATATATATATATATATATTATTTACGATTATAAATATTTTAAATTTTACTCAGATGATATATTATCCGAATTTATGATTTTTATGTTATATGTTAAAAATATAAATAGTAACTTCAATTGATGAATTATTTTTTGACTGTTCTCTCTTTTAGTTGCAGATAATCTGGATTCCTAAATATTACCAGTTTAATTATATATCACTGGTGTATAACATTGTTTCATTTTCTTTAGCAATTTTAGAGAAAAAAATGAAAATAATTTGATTACCCTCATGACTATAGTATACTGTATAATGATAGTAAAAAATATAAAATTTCTTAATCCAACCATTTAACATTTGCATATGAAAAGGGAATTTACTCATTCATTAAGTTTTTGTCTAAATTTTTTTATTATTATTATTATTATTATTAAAAAACCCTTTACTGAAAACAAGCATAATTTAATACGATGATGGTCGGTCGACTTTCTAAGTTAAACATCGTTCGGGCAACAGGTAATATATAGTACAACACGTTTATTCTCTTTTTGATTTCAAACGAATACTTTCACTTCAATCATTTGCACCTACACACACACACACGTTTGTTTATTATGTGTTGTTGAGTTTTTGGCGTGACATCGCCGTGACAAAATGTCCGGTCAATAAAAACGGCTACTTAGAATAGCACGATGAGGGGATGATGAGGGCATTGTGCTACGTCTAGGCCTGGATTACATTATTTACGACAAGAAATCCACCTCTTAAACAACAATAACTTGCTAATTTTCTCGGTACTGGACAAAAATAAAAAGTAATAAGTTTTGAACAGTGTTTCTAAAAAAAAAAAAAAAACATAATACCAAATCTGAAGTCATATTATGGTATATATTATATAGTTTTTTTACATATTATATATTTACCGAATATTTCAGTTTCAGTAATCAATTATCATATTATAAATCATTTTTGTCATTTTAGATTTTGTATAGTAAAATACAGATGATAATGTTTAGTTATACAATGAATTTTAACTTTTATTTTATTCCAATAATTTTTTAGGACGATAATAAAGGTACACTAAAAGTCATAATGTATGATACGTCATTTCATCATATTATAAAGTAAACAAAAGATATATAGAATAATTAATTCTTCAATTTTTAAAATAATTTTTCGACATAAAAGAGAAACTGAATATAGCTTAGATACCCATTACTTTTTCGTTCACTAAACGTACCTTATTCTTTTAAAAAAAATTAGTAAATTACTTTGGTAGTTTAAAAATGTTTAAATACATAATAATTTACAAACTTCTAACAATACGAATTTTATCAGTAGATACACGATATATTAATAAAAACAAAAAACTATTATTCATTTTTTTTTTTGTCTACCTCTGCGCATTTTATAGAAGGAGATTGAGAAATTATTTATTAAATGTGCCGCCTTTTAAATGCCGTTTAGATATTCGCGTTCAAGTCAACGTCACATTTTCGGAAGATAAAAATGAAAAAAAAAGGAATAATAATAAATAAACGGTCGGATCATTTGTTATGCGAAAGCAGAATCGGTTGAATGGCGGGTGGTATAGGCGCGGTGGGGATTTTCGAAATCATTAGCGTGTGGCGGCGGCGAACGCTCACCAATAGCTCTGGTAAAAACCCGGCGTCGCCCCGCGTAATCGTGCCGCTTGGCGCATTGCAGGTGCCGGCGGGCCAATGGCTGGCTGCCAAGGCCCGTTCGCCCGCAAAAATCCGATATACACTGTGGCGCGGCAACGCGTCAACCCGAAAATATTCCGCCCGGGTGACGGCGGCGGTGCGAGGTTGGTTACCTAACCACCGTAAAATAATAATTCATCAGGTGCAAATGAGCATTTAGCGATAGTCGTAGTTAAAAAACGAGAAATTATAAAAACAGGTCCGCTGGAAAGAGATTTGGACGGGCATGGGTTTGACGGGCGGTAAGAGCGGGAAAAAGATAGAAAACGTGTGAAAATCGATGGAACGTTTTAAGGGAGGAAACAATTCGGTATAACACATCGATCTTTTCGTTACGCTTTTTAACGCGCGTATAGCAAACATAAACGCCGGTGCGTAGTATTGGTATCACGTATTAGTAGTAGTAGTAGTAGTATTAATAATAGTAATAGTAGTAGTATTAGTAGTAGTAGTAGTAGTATTTCGTGGTAGTGGTATCCGTACACGGTAGGTATAGAGCCGCGCACGAGATGGCGTGTTTATTTTATTTTTCCTGCGCGGAGCCGGCCGAACAACACATCCGGGGCGTATGGGTGACGTCACGGCCGCCGTCGGTATCGCCCCGGTCGCGCATACTCCGCGCACCACCTTCGCAATCGCGACAGTCCGTCACCAGTTTTACACTGAACGCGGTTACGATCACAGTCTGACTTTCGCGTCGTCCCACTACCGACACACAACCGGCCAGTGTTGCTGCAACGACTTCTCGTTGCGTATGGTCTCATAGTTATATTCGTTTCCGCGTTTGCACATACGTCTGTCGCCGTGTTAATTCTATACCCATTTCTCGTCGTTTTCTCCGAAACCGCGACACCACTACCACTACCGCCGCCGCCGCCGCCGACGTTGAAGACGGAACACACCAGAACCCGATTCGCGCGCGCAACGTCTACCACCACCGCCACCACTACTACTCGGCGACCGTGATAGTAAAACGAAAAGAGAGTTCGGCGTGCGTAACCGCGAACCCGGCCGGTAGACCGTCGTTTTGTGATTGTACATTCCGTTTGGTAACGCGGTTATCGCGGTATCCATTGGAAGCGCCGCGCAGAGGTAACCACCACCACCACCGCCACCACCTCCACCATCATCGCCACTGCCGCATCTCGTTTGTGGTTGACAACACACACGCACACACACGGTCACCGCGTCAGGAGGAACGTCTGCGTCTTGTGTAAATACAAATCGCCACAACCACCGCGTCCGGTGATTAATTCTATTCGTCGACGCGCCAACGTAAAACATTACTAAAATGGTGAGTTTTTGTGCAATCTAAATTATTATCTACCTATCCATCCAGAAGCGGTCGGTGTCCGTTCCGCGCGTGTCCGTTAAAAATTCAGAAAAAATGACTGCACCGGCGGCAGTGGTGGTAGCCGTTGTCCGTCGTCGCCCAGACCGTTTATTTTTAGAATTCAGACCGTTACACTTTTTTTTCTCTTCCGTTTTCTCATTATCGGTTCAGTGGTCGTAGAGGTGGTCGTCACTGTCAAGGTGTCCAACATGGCGCCGTAACGCGTTTCTCACACCGGCTGCGTTGATTGCACCGCGTTTTAAACGTGGTATTCTTTTTGTATGGATTCAGTGCCTCATCGTCGATAGAAAATAATAAAAATAACACAATCGGAACAACAATTTACTAGTCGTTTTATATTCGCTTGAATATTTTTCTCTATTACCTCTTTAGTTCCCGGTTTTTTTATATTAATTGTGTTACACCTGTATGCCGTGGGTCGGCTGGAAAAATTCTCATCGTGCTTATTATTTTGGTCACGTTAATGTTACGATCGTATAGGAACGCTGATGTCTCGACGCGTACTTATTACGTCGTTGTGTATTATTTGTGTTATTTGTCACGATACTCCCCGAACGCCGCCTCTGTTGAAGTCGGTATCGTCTGCTTGGTGCGGGGGATAGCGTGGCGTTGGCGTCCCCTCCGATTGTATCGTCTGTGCCTACACTATTTCCGCGATGGCTTAGATCTCATATCAAACCGCAGCGGTGTAATTCGATGTGAGAAGAATTAACATAATATTTAATGCTTTCGATGTCTGTTGGGTAAAAGATGAAACAAAAAAAAAAAAATGTTGCGCTTGGACAAAAGCTAAAACTAAATTAATTTATTGTTTAAGAGGTGATATTACCCCTTATCCTTTCAAGCACCCATACACCATGTAGAATAATCCCCCCCCCTGTATCGCTAGGTGCGTGTGCTTACTCGCCAGTCAGACCATTAAAGGCCGTAACGCCATCTAGCGATGATGTACCACATGCCAAGTGACCCCCTTGCTAGTTATCCCATTACGGTTTTTGATAAGACGCTTGCAAACCGGGATTTTCCGCGCATCCTGATGAGGGGGTTTCTCCCCTATTTTTATCCACCTTTACCCTCTTGAATATAATTTTTCCGGGTTTCAGCAGTGAAACGTTACTAGCTGAAACCCTTGCTGTTAACCATTTCCTTGTTAGTTTATCCTTAAAGCCAGTGTTTAATGCTAATTTCATTTTCTGATTACTAGCTTCTCTGGTCATCACGATTTTTCATGTACTTTCTTGTTTTAAATCTGCCATATTTTCTGTTAAATTTTGCTCTAATAATAAATATTTTCTTAAAATTACTGTTCTTTTCACTAAAATTTGGATTAATTATTTGTATTATGACAGAATTCAGTAACCATTCTGTATTTATACCCTTTGAATCTTTAGCAGGAATTTTTTTGATTAGGTGAATTTTGTAAAGGTTATATTGGCTCATTTGTCTGTCCGTATAATATTCCTGTTTTCAAATGGATATGGTTAAAAGTTTATTTTGAACCTGTAAATAATATAGTACCTATATTTATATAATTTTAGTAAAGTTTTTATGTTCCTCCTAAATATTTTTGCTTCCATATAAATTACCTATTTATTTTCATATTCATAAAGATTACAAGTATAGTAAGGTATTAAAATTAATAAGTTTACTACCATTTCCTAACCTACAATTCAAATGAGTAAATCTGTAAAAAAATATTATGTTGTTTGAAATGACAATATTAGACCTAGACAAGCTAATTTATAAAACTGAATTCCTTGTACTTTTGTTTTTTTCTTATATAACATCATAAATAATGTTCTTATGTTTCCAATTAATATGAAGTAACCTTTAAGGAAGGTTTAATATTATGAATATAATTAGGTATCATTGATTTACTATATTAATAAATTGTATAAAAACAAGCATCAGAGTTTTTGTGATAACTTAATAACATCTTAATTGTATTCAAATAAATATAACCATCATCAACCTATCTATCAATAAAGTAAAGGCCAATTATATTGTACATGTTTTTTTTATTCATTGTAATTGTGCCAGCAAAGGATTAGGAATGCTCTTACCTGTGTTTGTACGTACCTACATAATAATTAGTTCATCTAATTTTGTGGTTAAGTATAATATTAGAATTAAATAATTTTCTTATGATATTTATGCAATATTTTAAATGATAAAATTTCAAAGATAAATAATACCATTGTTATGTATATTGTATGTTTTATAATTCTAAATTTTTTTCATAATATATGGAAATGATGGTGTTATATTTTATTAATAGTATAATATTCATAAGTCTATTATTTTAGTAATAATTTAAAGAAAGGCTCTGTGTATCTTAATATAATAAAATAAAATAATAATCATACTGTTTAAATGGAATATGATCTAATTACTTATTGATTTTGTATATCAATTTCATTTAAAGACATAATTATTTTATTTTTAAAAATTGGGTTTTTTTTTTTTAAATATTGTCTTTATAATGGGTTCATCTACTTACTTTTCTATATTTGTTGTACATACTTGGGTAAATATTTTAAAATCATGTTTAGGCATTTAACTTTGATTCTATAAAAAAAAAAAAAATAATAAAAAAAGTTATTCTTAAGTCTTGTACGATTATTTTTTAAAGTTAAAATGTTCTTATTTTAAATTGTATAGTAATTAATAAATATACAACTTTTTAGTTTTTATTTATAAATACTAACCATAGTGGCATAGTTTAATCAAATTTTATAATTTTGAAAATAACAACTTAAAAATTTATACCTAGTAAGGACAAGTGATTTTCACATTTTCAAAATTGTACAAATTAATTCTGTTAAATGTATAACTTCATTAAATATATCTTTTCAACTTCAGGCTGATCAATTAACAGAAGAACAGATTGCTGAATTCAAAGAAGCTTTCTCGCTATTCGACAAGGATGGAGATGGTACTATCACTACCAAAGAACTGGGAACTGTCATGCGGTCATTAGGCCAAAACCCGACTGAAGCTGAACTCCAAGATATGATTAATGAAGTCGATGCCGATGGTAATTATAATTAACTGTATTAATATATTTTGTATTGTTGATTCTCCTTTAATAAGTTATATTTTATTATTTTCATAGGAAACGGTACGATAGATTTCCCAGAGTTCTTGACCATGATGGCTCGCAAAATGAAGGATACTGACAGCGAAGAGGAAATCAGAGAGGCTTTCCGTGTGTTTGATAAGGATGGAAATGGTTTCATCAGTGCAGCTGAACTGCGTCATGTTATGACTAACCTTGGCGAAAAACTCACCGATGAAGAGGTTGATGAAATGATAAGGGAAGCTGACATTGATGGTGATGGTCAAGTCAACTACGAAGGTAATAAATGGGAATATAATCCTTTTACAGTGTTTATAAATAAATTTATAAAAATTTATTTAATATTATTATTATATTTTATGTTTCTAAAATCCAAAGATCCTCAATTGTTCATTTGTGTAAGCTATTGTAGGATATTGTTTAGACTATATACACCAAACCTAAAATACTATGAGGGTAATAGTTATTTTAGGTAAATGAAATTATTTTCATCTAGTTCTGACTCTATTTTCTTAGCTTAATTTTTAAATAAATACATTTTATTAGTAATAATTTACTTAAAAGAGTCTAAATATTATAATTCTTTAAAAAATATTGAATGTTCTTGATATTCAGTTGAATGATTTTATAATAATAGTTATAATTTTGGATAGATTTAAGTTATATGTATTTAAATATTAATTATACATTTGTTGTACACATATTAAATGAAAAAAATTTAATAACATTTGGTATTATTTTAAATTTTTTTCTAATTCTCAGAAGTATTGTTCTTAGTATTGACATTTAGTTAACCTAGTTAATACCACTTTTCTAAACTCCAAATGATAGTACATATTAATCAAACTATAATATTATAATAAAATCAAACTATTTCATCATTCTTTTCTAATATTAATTATTTGAAAAACAAATGTTTGAATTATTTTGTGTTGTATAAGACAAATTCTTAATTTTTAAAGTCAATACTCTATTATTGCTGTATTATTTTAATTTAATTTTAAATATATCACTAGTGGTGTGTTAAGTTCATCACTTGTAAAGTTTAGTTTTTATTGTTAACAAAATAGAGTAATACAAATGCTTTTAAATATTTTATTAATTAGTAAGGTCCATTATACACAATCATTATTTTTTTTGTAGGAAAATGTTTTCGTAAAATGTTTGAAATAACATGTTCATAAATAAAGCTGTTTATATGTTCATGATAAAATGTCAAACAATAAAATAATTGTATGACACCTTGAAAACTGTTGGTTAATCTTAAACATTCTAGACCATACAAATATTGTCCATTACTAATTATTTTGTCTACATATATGTGAATAAATTGATTATATCACACAAATGATAATTATCGTGCGATAAACTAAAAAATTAATTCAGTATTAACCATGTTATTTTTCGATGAATTTAACCACTCTCCTGGAGCAAATTACTATCACCATGAATTTGTGAATGAAAATGATTGCAATATTGATATTGATGTACTTATCAGTGAGGTACTATCAAGTAGCCTTCTTTGGGATTAAAGTTTGGATCATTATTCATATTGTAATTTAAAAAGTAAATTATAACTCATGTATAGAGTTACCATATTATCCATTGCTATATGCATTAAATTACCAAAAAAATTAAAAAGATTCTCAATACTGTATTTGCAAAAATATATCTCCAATAGATATTGAATATGTTTTGTCTTATATATTTAATATTTAATATAATATTGTATAATATGATAAATATTGATCGTATGAATCTGCCAACTAATACTATTGTACGATAATATTTCCATATGATAAAATATAGTTTGTGTGTAATGGTCCATAATCTTGTATTACAGAGTTCATTACTAACTACTTATCAGTAATACATGTTAGTGATATTATTTGAACAAATACTGACTAATTAAAATTTTACTTCAGCTTGAGTGTTATTATTTTGTATTTTTTATTATTATTAATTTATTAAATTTAAATTATGGTTTTTCAAGTGCTTGTAAATACTTTTACAAAATGTATTTAGTATAGGTTTAATCCTACGATTATGTCAAATAGCCAAAAAAAACATTTTTCATTTAAAAGAAAATATCCTCTTTGTTCTAAAATTTTTGATATCTTGTTCTTACAAATATAGTTGTTCGTATTAGTTTTTTCTCTTTTTTAACGTTGCAGATTTCCATACTTTAGCTCGGATCATTTTTGTTCTTTCTATGGCCGTGGTCAGTGCTCAAATCTATATTTTTGTGTCTTGTTTTTCTTTTCACATTTTATTGTTTTTTATCTTTTTTATTATTACCTATCACTTGATATTTTTTTGAAGTGTTTAAATTGCAAAGTGATATTAACATTCCATCAGCATTTGACTGTTATAAACCTATAAAACCCTCCCATCCATTCAATCATGGTAAAAAAATATGGTATCAATATTTACCGAATAAAATCATTTATTGAAATATGCATGTTTATTATATGCAATGATTGAAAAATTTAGTTGTATTCTTGTGTGTTCACGCATGAGTCACTTCTATGAGTATCTCTTTTTTTTTTTTTATATAATTCATTTTCCTGTGTTCCTTGGTTGTTTATTTGTTTTTAGTATATATTTTATTTGTGAAAGAACGTATGCAAACATATTTAATGAAGAACAACAACAAATCACTGAAAAAGAAATTAAAAGGCAAAAAAAACATTTAGTATCCCTGCATCCAATTTCATCCTGTACTATGGTCGTAAAATGTTATAAAAATTATTCTTAATTTCTAATTTACATAAGGCAGTGGCGCACACATGTTTTTTTCCGGGGGAGGGGGAGGGGGTCAAGGTAAAATATAAAACATTTTACAATTAACAAAATTATGCAAATCCTTAATATATTTTGACTTAAATAATAGCATTGATAATAGAATAGTTTAATTCTATAATCAATGATACTACTTATTCAATACTAACTCTTCATATTACAAATTTGTAAATTTTAACCTAGATATCTGGGAAAATGTCAGGGGGTTACAACCCCTTAACACCCCGCTCCCCTTGCGTGCGCCACTGACATAGGTAGAATTTGTAAATGGTTGTTATATAAAATAAAAATTATGTTTGATGTTATTATAATTTACTAATTAATTTGTTTTCTCTATGTTTCAGAGTTCGTGACCATGATGACTTCTAAGTGAAATGTGTTTCATTTTTAATTATTATTATGTAATTTTTTTATCATAATTTTTTTTTTTTTTTTTCAAAAAAAAGGAAGAAATTAACCTGCATTTTTTTCGAGTAAGCTTTAAAAAGATAATGTGATTATCAAAAAGTAAACAAAGATTAATTATCTTTTTACCACATTTGGAACTCTGTGAACTTTTTTTGTGTTGAGATATTCGTTATACTATAATCTATATGGTTAATTTTTTTTTTTTTTAATTTCACCAAACTCAGTTTATTATTATTTTCTTTTTTTTTTTTTTTTGGTGGTGAACCTGCCGTGTAAATTTTGTAAAAACAAAAAAACTATCCGGCGGCAACGTGTTTTTTTCTTTTTTTAATATTAAACTATTCTTTTCAGTTTTTGCTGTAGCAATGTTTTCGTCTTAACATATTATATTATTATATATAAAATTATGATAATATGATAAAAAAAATAATAATAATAATCTTAAGTATGAAAAATTATATTATAAATAATTTGTTGTTTTACACTTTAAAACATAATTTTAAAATCTTGTAATTTCTACGATTAATTATAATCTCCAGTGTTTTAGTAATTTATTATTATTATTATTATTATTATTATATAAATATTAATTATTAAATATTAGGGACGTTTTCACATTCCTCACTCACCAATAAAGTTAAAAAAAATATAAAAAAGAAATAAAAAAAGGAGCTATAATAAATCAATCAACGTTATTCAAAACATTTTACATAATATTTTGGCATGATAATATTTATTAGCCTATTAAAAATTGTAATTTTTTTTTTTTATGATTATTATAATTTTTAAAAAGTATATAAAAAAGACACATTAAACGTTATATTTCTTCACTTGTAAAAAGAGAAATGAAATTTTTTTATTTAATCCTCAATTGTATTTCAATTTAATCAGTTTCACAATATATATTATGTATAAAATTTGCACGTCTGCCACATAAATTTACGTAATCACAAACATACACTTTCACAGACATTTATATGGTTAAATGTAATTTGCAAGTAACACAACTCACAATTGATTTATACTTACACATTTATAATATTTATTTGTTACTATTTCTTGAGACCCGTATATTTGTTTTATTAAGTTTACCTTAACCACTTTTTGTGTGTTGGGCTAAATTAAATTAAAACAGTAAAAAATTATATTTATATTTAATTTTGGTGTTGGACGTGAAGAAAAAAACTAATTATTTTATATATATATATATATATAAATTAACTATTTAAAAATATTTCTGCGGTGCATGGTGCATGATGTCAATATTATTATTTGTTTTGATTTTAAACAAATATATTGTCATCTATAATTGGAAAAATGCATGTTTGAATAAAAGAAACATACTAGTAATCCACTAGAATGCCGTGTGTACCAGATGATTGCTGCCATTTTTTGACTTAAGCTTTTTCCGTTATGTATACTATATATATAATATCGTCACCATCCTGTGCCTGCAGTATTATATTTAATAATAATAATTGTTAGTTTGACGCGCATTAGTGTACTGAATTTACAATTTTTTCTTCGTATACATTATATGATTAATATTTTTTTTCATTTATTTATTTACTATTTAGGTTATTTTATATTTTAATCTGTTTAACTAGACTTGGTTGATAACTGCAGTTGTCCTACTTTTCGTCTAATAAACACATTTTATCATTGTTTTATTTGTTCTTGAAATATGATGATGTAGACATTCAATTTGCTGCTATCAGTGTTGGTGATGATAGTCAGTCCTCTATTCACCATTCTACAGTGGTTCAGTCTTATAAATGTGTCCTCAGTCCTGATTGTCCCCTTTAAATGTTATGACTAACTTATTTAATTTTTATTAGTATCCTACTGTTGCTGGAGTTAAACAAGAATACATCACTAGATTAAGGCAGTGACATCCTGAGACTTTATGCCAATATTGAGTAAACCAGTTGTGTTTATCTAAAATACATGATAATATCTATGTATTTGAAAAAAAATGGTGTCATTAAATTTATGTAACTATCTACTTTAAATATATGATTCTTTAGCATGCGTATAGTACGTAAAAAGTTTCAAATTAGATATTTGGAGAAGAAACAACTCCAACTAAATATTATTTTACCCAACTCGGTTTTATATACCTTTTTTATCTTTAATTTTTGTATGCCTTTTTCGAAATTTTCTGTTTTTGAAAATGTACTCTTTGATTACACTAAAATATATACTTCATACTCTTTGATTATCGTTTTATATTTTCCTTCAGTTACTGAAATAACAATAATATATTATATATAGAAACTATGGGATGGGCTTTAATGTAACACATTTTGAATAACAAGCTAAAGGCGGATCTGTAGTTTAATTAAGGAGAGGTGGAAAACCCAATAAGAATATTTATGAGTGTTATATAAAGTACAATGAAGACTCGAGAAAAAACTTAAGCGGTGGGGGTCGTCACTTTGCCACACCCCTGACGTAATTTATATATAATTTTACAAATTATTAAAATATTAATTTTTATGTTTGGTAATATAGTCTATCAGTTTACACAATCTTATTTTTCACTATTTTAATTGAAATAAAATTCATTTGATTACCTAACCATTTTGTTTAATCTATGAAAGATATAGGTAAATACTGGTAATTTTAGTTAATTATTTCTATATTTTTTTTTCCATTAGCTTATTTCACATCCTACCTATTTGTTTATTTTGTGATACAAGCGTGAAGATAGTTTTGAGATTTGAGAAGACTTCTAAAAACCAAATTCATAGTATCAAGGAGGGAGTATTATAAACAACATGAAAAATCTTTATTGCGCTCTTGTATGTTATAATTTATAGCTTTTGAGTTATAATTCCTAGGTACACGTAAATAGGCGATTAACCTTCAGGAGAGAAACAATATATCTTGTTTAAAATTATTGGAATTTAAATAATGTACAATATAATGGTCTATATCTTAGTTCGTGATTACAGTACAATCATAGGCGTGTGCAAACTTAAACTTCCCGTCGAGTCTGAATACAATTAGTGCCCCAATACTAAGACAGTACCCCTAATTTTTTTCTAACACTTCAACATAGTAGATTCTGTTGTAAATTAAAAACAATGTAGTATTTATATCTATACATAGAACCAAGTATTATATTGCTAATTTTTAGAAATATTTTTGAAGTTAAAAGTACAACTTTAAATTCTTTAAAATCAAATGATATAAATACAATTAATTGATTTCCACGAAAATATTAAAATATATAGACATTTTACTATGGTTAGTTTAAATTTTACTATGCCCCCAAAAAAATTCCGGTCAAACCGGGGCTCGCCCCGTGTGCACGCATATGAGTACAATCTTTAGGACTCCTACCACCACTTCCCTAAATTAAGTGGGTAGTAATCTAGGTAGTCTTATTTCGTTAAGTTGTGAATGCATGCAGTTTCTTCATATCAATACTTTTCAAATGATGACATTCAGGAATTGAGTATAGTTGTACCGTAGTTACCTATACTTTATAGGTCAAATGATAAGTAAAAATAAATTTAGCTACATAATATATTTTTTCATGGATAGTTCTGTATCAAAATGTAACATAGACCCTATAAATATATGGTTTATATCGCCTATCCTACAGAGTGCTGTGTCGAGTTGAGCTCTCTCCTAACCTATAGTTGATTATTATCTATATATCTGTATACAATTAATTTTCCCATGTATGTAAGATAATAAATTGAGGACCGATTCGACTGATTAGGTATTTGTTTTTGTATTTATAATTGTCTAGACAAGGTTTATATGAAAGGAAATGTTTAAAAAGTCTACAGAATATGTGTAATTCAAACATTTTTATGGGTTTGTTACCAAAAGATAATAAACGGTTTGTGTTCGATGGACCCAAAACCACTTAATATATATTGCCTTTTAGTACCTTTATGTATCTTGCATTGTTAGTTGATTTGTCAAAGACCTTAACATTTTTAGAAATTTTTCAAAAATGATCGATGTATAATTTAAAAAAAAATAAGTACCTATATTAAGTGCAATAAATGTTGTTTTAATTCCCCGTGCACAATTATTTTGGGGAAGAGGGTGGTAAAAGAAATATACGAGGAGCTCCACCCTTCTTGAGTGGGATCTTATTCCCCCCCCCATAGAGTCAGAATATAAGTCAGATACGTCACTGCATGAGAACGGTAATATGTTAAACGAAATCTATCGGAAGGGTACTAAGAAATCATGTGCTTTGCTATGAAGTATCGTTACGCTCACCCACTCGTTTAATCTTGTACAGGGCGTACTAGAACGTTAAAATGTTCGTATTATGAGAAACACCATGAAATTAAACGTTCACGGCTTCACGACGTACTTTGGACGTAAAACCGACTGGTTGGTGACCTCTGGCGTAGGGTTCGTCCGCAGGGTATCACGTACGTTGCACAGCGTTTTGTTTATTTTTCGAAAACTGCCATACACAAATCCTCTTCGATTCGATAACGGGTCGTTTACACGCGTACAATATTCGGTGTAGCAGTAAAGGCGCATTCTTATGAGTCAAGTTTAGTTGACCAATTATGGTTGATCAACAAAAATTGAATATAAGTTGAATCAGTATTTGTTCACACATTGCAACAGAACATGTTTCAATTTTATTTTCAACTCAGTTTAACACGTAATGTCGCGGTCGACACGTAGTCGACGCCACTGTCGAGCTCATTTTTTCACATATATCAATACAGTTGAAAATTGTGTCGAAAGCAGTTGTATGTGAAATTGTAAATACAATAAGTATTTTAGTAAAAGAAGAATTAAAAACGATTTTAATTAATATGTGTAAAAATCGTAAAAAACGTCGTTTTTGGGTTAAAATTAAAAATATTTAGTACGTTAAAAATTAAAAAATAAAACATAAAATGCACGTGTGACTACCCACTGGCTGAAAAAAAACTGAAGTTCAACTTGAACAACTGTAGTGTAGGTTTATGTTCTTACGTGTCAAGACAGGTTTCAACTTGAAAGGAATTGGAAAATAAAGGCGCGTTCCCATGAGT